ATTTATAGCACTTTTCAAAACACTTGGCACTTTTTATTTATTTTGTTTGGGGGCAATATTTCGAAATGATATTCGCTTTTGCGGGGGAAATTCGCTTTTCAGATCATAGCATTAAGCTCTGGAATGATGTTGCTGCTGCTGGTTGCTGGTGGTTGCTGCTGCTGGTTGCTGTTGTCTCATGTCACAGATAATAACGCACTCTGATTCTCAGATTCCGATGATGTGTTGTTCCCGTTTCCGATTTCGTTTTGAGATTCTTTTACTTTTTTTTTTTTGTTTGGCTGAGAGAGATTTGATTTGAGAAACTCAAAACACAGACATGACACACAGAAACGGACAAGAGACAAGAGACCAGGGAAAATTCACGTGCAGACTCGTAGAGCTATCGAAGTGAACTAACCGTCATGTCTCGCGCGGCAGCGCTACGTTGAGCGGGCTCTCGACCAGATACAAAGATACACTCACACACGCACAGCTACAGGCACACACACAGCGGAAACATTTGTGAGCGGCTCTCGACACAAGACGTTTGCCACACAGATACGCAGCGACACACACACACAGAGCAACTCACACTCCCCGTACGAGCGCTTGTACGAACCAGTTTTCAACCCATGTTCCAGCATTCTGTGCGTGTTGGAAGAGCACCGCTAACAGAGCAGCCGTAGCATTAGAGAGAGATGGCCGACACACGACTGGAAGGGCAACTCTTGCGCTCTATTGGATTCCATACATTCCAGTTTCCAGCGTTACGCCCACAAAACGAAACGAGAGACGAACGCCAGAGCGGTCGAGCGACCAAAAGTTCTCCCTCTACGATTGTGTGTGTGTGTGTACATTCCCATGCAAAAGTGACATTTTTAATTGCCAAAGCGGCAAAAGGTAGCTGCCAGAGCGAGAGAACACGAAACGAACATCGGACATCGAACATCGTTCCCAGGGCTGCTCCCCAAACAGAGCACAGGGCGCCGCGCCGCGCCACCACACAATACTCGATAGTCCGATAGGAGAGCTTTTCTGTGTGTAACATTGGGGCTGTTGCTGCCCTGAAGGATACTCGACGACTCCCTTCCATAAGGCGAAGCTTTGTTCAGTTCCCTGCTGCTGTTCTTTGGATAAAGAGACAACTTTTGGTTTCGTTTGTGCCTCTTTTTCAGTGTGTGGAAAGGAAAGAGAAGTGGGGTGTCTGTCTAGAAATTAATTTTTTTTAATTCTAAGCAAAAAGCAAAAACATTTTCCATACAAAATCATTCAAAAAAATATTAATTTTGCATGAAAATATCATTCAGAAATAACAGAACTTAATTCCAAACAGGCAGACATCTTCATCGTCAGAGTTGGACTTCTTTTTCTATTGTTATCCCCATAGAAAGCCCCACACATTGTCTGTAAAATATAAATAGTGTCTGCGTCTGATTCCCTTTGTGTGTTGTCGAGTGTTTTGATTGTTGCGTTAGTTTACTGTTAAATTATAGCTCAAAGTTATTGATTTGCTTTATCTGGCGCAGCCAAATTGTCACAGAAATTAGCATAGCAAAAGGGTGTACCGGGTGTACCGGAATATTCTCCTAAGTTATGGCCACAAATACAAGTTCCCGCCCCATTGTCTTTAGTCTTTAGAGTGCAGTTTTTATTGTTTGATTTAGTGGAGCGTTGCGCAAACAAAAGCAAAGCAGAATCCAACGGAAAACATATTTAAAAGTGTATGGTAGTTCCAAAGGGCAAACAATGATTGAATGGAGGAGTAGTAGAACAATACAAAAATTGTTTCAAAAATGCTTAAATATTATGATAGGCGGAAAGATTAATCCATTTATTGTTTTTCAATAGGAGAATCTTTCAGTAACTGCATTAGCTTAACAAAGTATAATCCAATTTGTTATCCCTCAATCCCACACAAAACTCTCATCTAAGTTGCTTCCATAAACACTTTATTTTTCCCCTATTAAATCCCTTTAAAAACTATTGTCTTTATCACACTTTTTACACCCCTTCTGTAAATATACACCCTCTCTTCCCCTTTCCTGTCTCACTCATAGACAACACTCATTTTTGGGGCAGGTCAAGAGCTCAATCAAAAATAATTATGCAAACTAAGGTCATTCCACAACGAGACACAGAGCGAGAGGGAGTGAGAGAGAGAGACCAGACACAAGTTCAACCTTATATTTGCATGAAATTTGTTCAGGCATTTTTCCACATCTCCACATCCTTTCGGCCACACACAAAACACAACACTTGGGCATAATTAATAAGCCAAACACAACACGCCGCATATATTTTCAGCCTCATTCCCTCTGCCAAGTCACAGACAGCCAAAAGAGTCACTGGGCATCATCATTGTTCATCAGTTTGTTGTCCTTAGACACTAAAAATTTACATGATAATTAGGTGGCGCGGCGGCGCTAACCAACACGGGAAAAAAACGCATTTAAATTTCAAATGTCGAAGGAGAAAAAATCCTGTTTTTCCCCACTCCGTTGCAGAGTTGCAGAGTAGAGTGCGGCGGTGTGGTGTGGCATATGCTAAATGCGCACGCGCCGCGTTTTTTTTGGTTTTTTTTTCTTTCGTCTTTCAGGAAAGGACTTGTTGCATAATTATGCGCCCCATGCGAGTAAAAAAAAAATGGATAAAAAACCTAAGCGCTGCGTTTATGAATGGAATGGAAGAAGAGATCTCTTGCGGCCACGACCACGGGCAATGGCAACGGCAAAGCCGCTGTTGATTTTTGGATGATAATGAGGCACTCCGATTAGCAATTTGCCTGCATTTTTATACAGTCTGCTCTTTCATTCACACACACTCTACTGTCCTCCTCTCTTTTGCTCACACACACACACTTCATGCAATGCCCCGCACTTGTTTATAATTATTAGCATAATTTTCTTCTTATTTGCGCATTAATTTGTTGTCTGCCAAGAGACGAGGAAACTTTTTTGGGCGTCTGTTTTCGGTAATTAAAGTGCCATTATTTGCCAAAAAAAAGACATATAAACGGGGTCTGGTTTTGATCGCTTTGTTTATCGCGCAAAACAATTAATGCACAAATACAATACATATTTATTTGTATCTCTATATATGTAGCTGTCTGGAGAGGAATGAGGGTGTTTCAGCGATTAATTTGTGGCAAAGGCAAAGCAATTTCGTTTGTTTAAGTGAATTTTAATGCATTTCAACACAGCATTTTATTGAAAAAAAAACACTTTATTTTATTTAAATTACTGAAAGGTTTCATATTTTCATCAATTGGAAGCATGTAAAGCCTTAAAAGCAATGACAACCTATCGTAACTTGGTTCTGGCTTAACAGATCTTAATGAAACGGGTTTCGTGGGTAGGTCTTAAAGGGATAAAGGAAATATTTCAGTTTAATTAGTGTTTAAAGTAATTACTGTCATAAAAATACTTAAAACTCAATCAAAGTACGCGGAAATAAATAAAATACGGTTAGGAAAAGTAACGTCTAAAAGATGACACGAAATATCCATTATCCAAAAGGTTAGGCTCAAAAAATTAACCCAACGAAAATCGATTTAGCATTTCACATGCAATTAATCCCATCTTCGGTTTCCTCTGTGTGTCTTACCTACATCATCTTCCTGGCAAAAGTTCATGCAAATAATCCTTACATCATCTTCGTTTTTACCACTTCCCCGAAGTCCTATCTGCGAGCCCTGCACCTCTGCTCGTATCTCTGGCTCATTTGCAAACAAACGTTTTATTAAAGAGACACACAAACACACACAGAGAGATACTTCTGAACCTCATGTTCGTCCTCAATCTCTCTTCTTTCAGTCCATTTGCCTACAGAAACGTCTTCTTGCTTCGTCGGTCAACTCTTTTTACCATATGCCCAGAAACCAAATCACTTTTTTGCGCGCCAAAAAAAAAGGAAGAAGCCCCGAAGAAGACACAACCCAGCCCAAGACAACCCCTTGAGACGCAACCCTTTATCCTTTGATTCTTTCTTCTGCGTCAAGGTCAACTATCATCAAAAAATCTAGATACTCACGTAGGCAAATTGCATAGGCAAATGTGTATCCCTCGAAACCTCACGGGGAGTTGCATTCAACCCATTTATCATTTTTGCAATTTCAATTTTTGCAATTTTGCATGCAACGGCCGTTAAAAAACAAAAACTCTCTCTCTCTCTCTCTTTCGCTACTCTGATCCTTTAAATCCTTTCACTTTCGCTACCTAGAGGAAGAGCAAACCCACGGCGGAACCTATCATTGAGTTTTGCCAAATTCCAGCACACATCCTGCCACAGGCTTTGCCTCTACCTCTGCGCTTCTGTCATATGCAAATTAGTTTGAAGCCCAAAAAATATAAATAGAATTTTGTGTCCCGCCAAAAAAAAAATAGAAACACGAAGAACGGTGCACAAAATGGCAATTGTTGTCGATACCGTAGGACTGGGGGGGGGTTAACCGTTAACGTGTGTCCCGCTTTTCGGTTTAAATGCATTTTCTGGTGCGCCTCATTGGCTTTCGACGTTCGGCTTTCGGCTTTTCATGCTGTCAATGAGACTCCGCGTGTGCAAAGGGCAAATATGCAAATTAGTTGGCATTTTTTTCCCCCTTTTTATTTTTTATTTATTAACTAATTTATCTCTGCGGCGCTGTGACACGTCCCATAGGCAGAGAGCAGAGTGTAGCAGCAGACCATCAGCCCATCGGCCCCGTCAGGGTCGTGAATTATTGGCGAATGCCAGCCATAGAGGAGGTTTCGACAAAAAACAAAAATTATTGCAACACCTGGACACAATTTTTTTTCGTAGCATGTATGTATATCTTTTGGTGGCTTGTGGGGTAAGAGAGTGGCTCTAACGAAGGCCTCTGTTAAGTAGTTAAGTAGGCGATGTCGGGAAGGAGACTCAAAGGGATTTTAATATTTCAAAGCGAGCAAAATTGATAATAAAATTGAAGGATATGTTGGGAATCACTTAGCAAGATAAACATTTATGTGAAAGATTTAAAGTTATAGCATGTTTTGCACTTACATTTATTCAGTTGCGAAAACCCGTGAAGCAGAATAGATAAACAGTCCTGAAAGATATAAATCGAAGATAATAATTAAAATAGAATCCATGTATCAATCTGATAACATTTTAATATAAGAGTATTTTAAATAATTTAGTAAATTTGCCAATAAAGATGAACATTTCTTATTTACTTGAATATTCTTGCTGAATATGGAAACATTTGAATGCTAAAAGTGCATTCTTGGAAGCACTTTACATCATATTAAGTTCAACATCTTTCAGACGCTTTCCAGTTTACAGCTTATAGACCATAAATTAAGTTAGACCACATGTTTTTTAAACATTTGAAAGCTCTCTCTCTCTCTCTCTCTCTCCAGCATCTCTAAAACCATTCCAAAGATGATCTAATAACCCATAACAGTCCACCAATAATATATTAAACATAAGAGCACATAATTAAAGGCCTGTCCCAGTCATAAAGGTAACATCGTAAAACCCAATTTCAAACCACAAAATACCCCATTTACAAGCTGAATTTGCTTAACTCACTTTCATCAGATGTCAGAGTTTTTCCTGCATTTCTTTTAGGGAAATAGAAAAATAAATAATTCATTAAGGCATTAAATCTCCATAAACTTCACTTTTGTACGGGTGTGTCACTGTGGGCAGGCTCTCACTTTCAATCGCATTACAAATGCATCCCAAAAACCAAATCCGATTCCCAAAATCAGAGAGAAATATCGCTAGAAAATTATAAACTCTGTTCACACCCACTAAAGTGGCGACAGGAAACCAAAACCAAAACGAGAACTCCAGAAGTCCGGAGCAAAAGGGAAAGAACGAGAAACATATGTCAATAAAAATCTCTCAATGTTTTTTCAAAGTCCATTTGCATAATGCAGTCAAAAGGGCAACGCGTTCGGGCTCTTCCTGTGCCCCAGAGCCGGAGGGACCAGGTGAAGCCTTGGTCCCAGTCCCAAGGAAAACTTCAAACAGAAACTCCAGAACTTTGCAAACTATGGCACTATTATACTCCTCACTCACTCGTACACGCATGTTGTTTGTTGTTTCCTTTGAAAAACAAAAACCAAAAAAAAAAGTAAAGGAAAAAACGTATGCGTCAAACGATATCCATCGCGGGTCGCGACCTTTCGCCGGCGTCCGAGGGGTGCATATCATTAGCGACACACACACACACACACACACATACACATGGACACTAAAAACAGTGGCACACATTTTCCCCGACGACTGACACTTTTTTTATTTCACTCTTCCGCTCTCCTCTCGGAGCAAATGCCTCCTCCTGCTGACATACGACACATCAAAGGCCAATCAACTCTTCTTCCAATTGTGTTTTGCTTCTCTCTGGTATTTCAATAGGAGTTTCGAGTTCGTATAGGAAGCGGAAGTGGAAGCCAATTTAACCCTTGCCTTAGCCTCGACACAAACCATTCCAGTGGAGGTCGTTTGGGGTGAATTTCTGCTTGTCACAAGCAGCGTGGTGTGTTTCCTTGACCTTGCCATAAAAAAGTCTGCAAACGGTAAAAAAGGAAGTGAAAATTTGCAAGAGGAGACGAAAAAATGTGGTTAACTTTCACCAAATAATATTTTCACATTTCTTTTATAGATCAGATATTTTTATAACATAGTTTTTTCACCATTTTCCTTAACATTTTCTCCAGCAAACACTCTTATATTGCTTCGAATTGCACAGATTTATTATTAAACAAACAAATTTTAATTGAAACATAAACGCCATTTCGATGATTGCACGCGCCAAGCGACTCTGATATTTATGCACCGTAAAAAAAAAGAAACGAAAATTGTAGTCCGAAATTGCAAATTGCCCATAAGACATAAATGAAATTTTTATAATCGAAACGAAACGGAAAAAAGCTGCACATGCGCCGAATATGTTGTGCTGTTACTTTGGCTGCTGCTGCTGATATTATTTTAATGTTATGGTTATTGTTATTAACTTTTGGAGGTGTACAAGAGCAAGTGACTGGAGGAGCAGCAAGAGTAAAAACAGTAACTGGAGGTACAGCAGCAGAGATGTGATTGCAGACGAGCAGCAGAAGATGTGACTGGAGGGGCCAAAGATTTCACTGAAGCAGCAGAAAAGTTGAATGAAAGAGGATCAGCAGGAGATGTGACTTCAGTAGGAACAAAAGAAGTCCCGCCAAAAGCAGCAGCAAGCTCATCTAAAGAACTTTTGCCGCATCTAAAAGAGAGTCTGCACTTTTTGATCTTGCAGCCGCTGTATCCTACTGATGGGGGTGGTGTGTGGCACGTGTGTGAAGTACCATCTGCCAGCACGAAAACCCTCCTGCAGTGGCAACGGCACACAAAAGAATCAAGCAACAAACGCATTTTGATTCGGGGAAACCGCTTTGAAAGTGCGCGATGCTTTACACCTGATAACCAGAGGACCAAAAACCATCCATCCACATCCATCGCATCCATTGAGGGACGGCTGCCGCCACAGGACTGTGATGTAATCAGACTCCTATATACACCCCGATCTGCCCCGAACAACCGCTCACACCCCTCACCACGATTTGTGGTACGTGATATTGTTAAAAGCTTTTAATTGAAGTCATCTTCTTCTGCTGCTGGTTGCTGGTTGCTGCAAAAACAGGTAGCTGCTGTAGCTGTGTCTTCAGCGGTTGTTGTGGGCCTTCTGCTGCTGCTTCGATGTCGAGCATTTTTATGATTAAACTAATTTTTCTTTTACCGCATAGCAGGTGATGGGGGTTAGCCCCAACCCCCCCCTCTCTCTCTCTCTCTCTGGTGGCTGGCTCTCCTCCCCGTTCATTCCTGTGCGTCGTCCCTCTAGCCAAAGTTATTTTAATAAACTGCGCGACGTGATGGGAATTCTGAAATGCGATCAGTTTCAATTTTATTATTGCTCGTCGCTTGGTCGCTTGTGGCTTCTGTGGCTGTTGCTGCTTCTGCTTTTTAGATTATGTGTATTGCCAGTCAGGCAGGCAGCCAGCCAGCCAGCCAGCCAGCCAGCCAGCACTTGTAAGTGTTGTTAGAAGGCAGCCCCCAAAAGAGGAGTGCCCCGGACACGGTGCTGCTGACCAGGAGACAGACCCCAGCAGACCCAACAACGTGCAGGCTCATTTAACAGTAGCCCGCAAAACGTTTGTCGCTCTTTGTATAATAATTTAAAAAAAGAAGCGGCATTAAAGCATATTTTTTTATGATAAGATATAATGACGCAGGCGTTTGTTTCTTGGGTTTAACCAAAGAATACATTAGGAATACATTTGTAAAATGCTTGGAATATTTTGTGATAATAATATAATGGGGGTAATAACATAAAGCAATGGTTTATGGAATGATAATAAGGGAAATAAACTTGTAGAAAAGTTCACAGAAATACCTTAAGTGATTTCGGTACTTCATAGAGGAATATAGAGTCAAAAACCAAGTCAAAACTGCAACTCCCTGTGAGTCCCAAGGTTTTATTGCAACACACAGACAATCCCTGCCACAAATATCAATGAAAAATGCATTGAGACCTTCGTTTATTCCACTTGCTTATCGCATGCATCGCTGCAACCCATTTTGGAGGCCAGTCCCTCATTCGGGGGGAGCTTCCTCCACTTATAAGTTAATTTACAAAAGGCAGTAGGAGGAGCAGCAGGTACGAGCACCAGTACCAGGTAGTACCTTACCTACCAGATGCGTATGCGTAATGCATATAATTTGCAAAGGAAAACCAAAGCCAAGACCCACAACCAAAAAACCTTCGAGGCATTCAAATAAAATAAAGTTGTGAAGTAGCGCATGGGAGATAAATTACAGACACTTGACTGAACTTGAGGGCACATGGGGGCATGTGGCAGTTCATTGGTGGGGTTCTATTGATTAAAATCAACAGAAAATATACAAAAATTTATACATCTCCATGCGGCATGCAGTGCCACAAGGTAGAGATGCCGATACAGAGGACATAACTATGTGCCAGACCATTTCATTTTTCAACAATTGGCCAAAACTACGCCTCAATACACTTCAGATACAAAATCCCGAAACGATTCGAAAGCGGAGGGGCGTGTGCTGCCACAAAAGTAATGAGCAGTTGGCCACGCGCGGCTCCAAGGGGACGGAAGGTGGGGAAAAGAGACTCTACCCCGAGGGCCATACAACAGAGGCCAGCAGACTTTAGCCAAGAAGTTCTACTCCAAGAGCTGGAGCTGGAGCTGAAGCTCTCCCTCCGATACGACTTGGGCCTGCACTCGAGCCTATAATTATAATTGAAATAAATTGATTTATTTGCTCAATATCGAATGCTGGTACTCTCCGTACTCGACTCTCGGCTCCAGCTCCAGCTCCAGCTCTATGCCAAAACGCATAAAACCATAAAGAAAAATGGCAACAATACAATTCCATGGCTCTCGCTTGTTCTCCTCTCCGATATCCCCTCTCCGCCACTGCTGTTGTTGTATATAGCGCATGCTTAATTGTTGTTATTGCCTTTTGGTTTTGGAAAATACAAAATAAAAAAAAAAACTATGCCTCTGGCCAAAAGTTGTGCAGGCCCCTACGATGACGATGACGACGTCGATAAGGTCATGAGCAAGTGTCATTGCAGCGCATAAATTATGGTGTGACGGGGGTAAGGACTTAACAATAAATAAATGTTCGTGTACAGGTTGTCTGTCTATGATGAAAAATACTTAAAATATGTTAGGGGGCAGGAAAATGGTTAAGAATGAGGGAACTTCCAACCAACACTTAGGATAGGTTAACTGCAACATAAATCCAGTCCCCGATGGGCTAAGCATATTTTGCGAAGCAAAAAGCTTCACCTCTCCGTGTTCTTATTTCCCCTTTCAAATGGCAAAACAAATAAAATCACAAAAATTCAAGTACTGCAACGAAACTTCCCTCAGCGACGCTCATGCCCTTTACCATTTTTCTCTGACATTCTGCCGCCCTTCGAAAAAGTCCAACAGAAATCTACAACAAATCTCGTAAAGACTGTACTGCACCTGCTATCCATCTGCTGTGGTGCTCGCTCCCTCCCCTCCTCGCACCACACACACA